TTTTTTTTTTTTTTTTTTTTTTGTACTTTAGCCAGCTTTTACATGATGGAGTGGTCTGCAGAAGAAAGTGATCGCATGTCTTGGGAAAGAAAACAGCCTTAAGAGAAGTGTGTACCTGATTTCAAAGCAATCAAAGTCAGTAGGAACTTAGCACAAAAAGGGCCATCCCCGGAGCGGCTGCAGGTGGGCAGCGTGCAGGTGACGTGCCCGAAACAGCAGGGCACGTTCGCCTTGCCAGATGGACACGGTGTTATCATGTAGGGCCCGCGCCCTGCAGAAGCATGCATGCAGATGGGCTGTGCACGCTCACGCTGAAGCAGCTGGAGATGGGCTATGCCTGCACAAAGGTTAGGTGCAGCGCACATAATAATGCCTAGGTTATAGATTCAAATATCATGATGAAGTAAAAAGATACAGCAAATCACTCTGTTCTCTAGAAAGTTCTGCCTTCCGCAGGGGGTTGTCTTCATCGAAAATTGTGTTGAATAGTCCCACGCCAGATACTTGCCATCGACCAAGGTGTAAAGGTATAAATTGCTCAGGAGCATGTAAAAATTAACACATGCACGTGACTAGTGTGTCACATGCCCATTGCATGCTTTGTTAAAATGCAATATTCTGCAGAAAAAAAAAAATGGAGAAACCTATCTGAAGGGCTAAATACAGACCAGGAAGAGTGTGTTGCCATTTTACAAAGAATGGGTTGAACTACCAGACCTATACCAGACTTTCTTCTGTAAAATCCTGCAATGTTGCTGCTGCAGGCTTCTGCACTGGGGTATGTACCTGTATTTTTGTGCTTCCTGCTACATTGCTGTGATTGTTTTTAGATTTTCTCATGCCAGCACTTTGACGTGAGCAGCAAAAGATCCMCAGGTGCCTTAGGTGCTCTGCTGCTAACAAACCTGGACAACAAGGGCTCGGGCAGCCCGACTGCCTGTAACATTGTCAATACTTCTCCCTTCTGCCCACTCTAGCTTCACCCAGCTGTTTTAAATAGCAGGGAGAAATTAAAATTCTTAAAGCCTTGCAGGATGTTTGGATTTCTGCCCTTGATTTCCACTTCCATGCGCCATGGCTTGAAAATTTGCCCGTGATTTATAAATTCCCTGTTCGCTTTTCTTTTTATTTATTTACTTTTAAAGCAGAATCAAGCAGAGCTGCGTTGGCTCCGTGTGTTGCCCGCTGCTGCGGGAGCCCTGCGCGCTGCCTGGCTGYGGGGACCGTCCGGGTGACATTGTGCAATTACGTGATGATAAGCATCATTCAAGAACACAAATGTGAGAGGTAAACAGCCCAGGGCTCTTTATTAGCTTATTTCAGGCGATCTTTCTTGTTTTACTGTGCAGCTCCTCCTCCTTTTACAGTTTTCTGCTATTCTTTACTAATTCTAGCGATTTGAGAAGCGACCTTTAACCCGCACCGTTTGCAGACTCCTAAAGGGGATAATTGAAATGCCACAGTAAACCCAAGGCAATAAAATATTATTTACTAGGCATAAAGCTAAGGTCGGTCTTCCAAAAAGGAGCAGACATGGTCCCCCCCATCCCACCCCTGCCCGGCATCGCAAACGGGGCGCTGCACCTCGGCTAGGAGCCCCGAGGGGACGCGGGGGAGCTGGTGCGGAGCGTGTCCCGCAGCCGGGATGCACTCCCCCTGCTCCCGGGAGGGCTTTTCCTTGCACGTGGAAGGAGTGAATGGTCTGAGAGCGGAGCGGCTCCTGCAGCCTGTCTGGGCCCGGCGTGGGAGGCTCTTCGGCTTCAGCTCCCCGCGGGTCCGCAGGGTTGCACCTCAGCAGCTGTGGCCAAGTGCCCAAGTGACAGCGGGACGGGGAGCTCACGGGGCAGGGGACAGCGCTCGACGCCCCGCGTGGCCGCGAGGGACGGGACCCGCACAGCGGGTGCCCGGCGCGGGGCCGCAGTCCACGCGTGTCGGAGCGTCACGGCGGGACCCCGTGGCCGGTACGACTTTAAAATCCAGCCCCTTTCTCAATAGGCCGGGGCGGGCGCATGCGCCCCGCAGAAAGGGTTCCAGCTGCCGTTGGTTCTCCAAGTTTTTTTTTTTT